GAGGAAACTACAAATACCATAACTGTGTGTCTTACTCATGAAATCGTACCCCAGTATAATTCTTCCATAGAGGATGGTGTTGAGCCAGTGCATAAATTGTGGGAATTAGACAGCATTGGAATAAATATAAATGAAGAAAGTCCAGACGATTCTTTTACTCAGGAGCAATACCTGAGAGATGTAAAATTTGAATCTGGACGATAGTGGGTACGACTTCCGTGGAGACTGAACCATCCAGAATTGCCCACTAATTACAGAATGGCATATGGACAATTAAAGGCTCAGCTCCGCGAACTGAGTAAGACACCAGAACTGTTAACTGCCTATAATGATATAATTGCTGAACAATTAATTAATAAATTTATAGAAGAGGTACCTCCTGAGCAAGCCAAAATTTATGGTCACTATTTGCCACATCACGGAGTGAAGAAGGATTCTAAGACCACTCCTCTGAGAATTGTGTTTAATTGTAGTGCCAGGAGTAACAAAAATGTACCTAGTTTAAATGACTGTTTGATGACAGGTCCGTCGTTGACGGAAAAATTAGGAGATATCTTATTAAATTTCAGAGTGAAGCATTATGCCTTTACGGCTGACATAAGTAAAGCTTTCCTAAGAGTGGGTCTACAAGAGGCTGACCGGGATTGTACCCGCTTTTCATGGCCTGAGAATCCTATTGACCCACTTAGCCCTCTGAAAACCTTTCGCTTTAGGAGCGTATTATTTGGTGCTACATCCAGTCCGTTCCTACTTCAAGCAACGATAAATGCACACCTTAAACGTATGGAAAGTCCATTGAGTAAGGTAAGGAGCAAACAATTTTATGTGGACAATTTCCTGGGTGTGATGTCAACTGAAGAGGAACTGTTAATGACTTATGGAGAGGCTAATAAAATAATGCAAAGTGCCAATATGCCTCTGAGGGAATGGAATAGTAATTCGTCCAAATTAAAGGACAAAATAAGTAAAGATTACCCTGGAGATGAAGTGCCAAAATGTAGTAATGTATTGGGATTAATTTGGGATACTGAGAGAAATTTGTTAATGTTAAAACCTAATAATTACAGTATGCCCAATAAATTAACTAAGAGTGTCTTGCTTGCTGAAGTTTCCAAATGTTTTGATCCACTAGATTTAGTGTCACCCCTTACTATAAGAGGGAAATTATTAATTCAGGAAGCATGGAAACTTAAATGTGCTTGGAATGAAATTCTACCTGAGAAATTCATTAACAGGTGGGATGAATTAATTGGTGATTATGAGAAAATTCCAATGTTGGAGTTCCCATGCCAGGTGGCCAATCCAGATGGGAAAAATGTACTCCACATTTTTTGTGATGCTTCAAAATTGGCATATGGAGCAGTTGCTTACCTTCAGTGTAATTGTGTTATTTCTCTTGTTATGTCTAAGGCTAAAGTGTCTCCAATTAAATCACGTACCTTACCTCAGTTGGAATTAACAGCCATTTATGTAGGTGTCAAATTAGCTAATTATTTAAGAAATAAGTTGCAGGAGATAAATATTAGCAACACTGTAATTTGGTCTGATAATGAGGTATCCTTACAATGGATTCGTAATGGAAACAGTAAAATTGTGTACGTACAAAACAGAGTCGCTGAAATTAATCAGATGCAAGAGAAGTATAATAGTTTGGGTCAGCATATGTTAACATCTAATCATATACCTGGTGAGGAGAATCCAGCTGATTTCTTGTCTCGAGGTTTACCTTATGCTAAATTTGTAAATGCTGTATCATGGTTTAAAGGACTGAGCTGGTTGGTAAATAAAGCTAATTGGCCTGTACAAAAGGCGTATATTGCTCCTGTTGAAATTACTGTGACCACCGCTCCAATAGTTTGTCCTCCCTTAGCCATTGATATAAATAGGTATTCTTCTTTACCCAAACTGATCAATGTAACTAAGTTGGTGTTTGAATTTCTAAACAAGATAAATATTTCATATAAGTTTTCACATCCTCTTGAATATTGGATAAAGAGGGTACAGAAGGAAATCTATGGAAATGAGATTAAATTGATGATGGAAAGAAAAATTGTGAAAGGTTCTATAATAGAGAAATTGGGGCTGTATTTAGAGAACAATGTAATTAGGTGCAGAGGTAGGTTACAAAATGCTGAATTGTCTGATTATGCTAAACACCCTATCTTACTGCCCAAAACTCATCATCTAACAAATTTGATTGTTCTAAATGCCCATAAAAATGTAATGCATGGTGGGGTACAAGATACCTTAAATTGTATTAGGGAAACTTTTTGGATTCCACAAGGACGGCAAAGTGTAAAAAGGGTGATTAAATCTTGTGTAATATGTCGCCGTGTGGATGCCAGATCCTATATGTACCCAGGTCCTCCACCATTGCCGAAGGAGTGTGTACAATTAGTGAAACCATTTGATGTAACAGGTGTAGACTATAGTGATCCAATAATTTTAACAGGTACTTCAAATGGTGTTCCACTGAAAGTGTATGTTTGTTTGTACTGCTACTAGGGCAGTTCATTTAGAAGTGGCACAGGACTTGTCTGCAGAACAGTTTATACAGCTGTTTTATAAAATTTGCAGCTAGGAGATCCTGTCGGAGGTTGATGATTTCGGATAATGCCACAAATTTCGTAGCAGGTGCTCAACACTTGATAGAATTAAATAATAGTAACGATGTTCAATCTCTGTTAACCCAGCGAGGGTGTACCTGGAAATTTATTACTCCTAGAGCCCCTTGGCAGGGGGGGCTGTACGAAAGACTGATAGGCACAGTGAAGAGGTGTCTCCGCAAAGTACTACACTGGAAGAGAATTAATTTGGAAGAATTCCGTGCAGTGTTAGTGGAGGCAGAAAATCGTAAAAATAATAGGCCTCTCTCGTACATGAGTGATACACCTGATGCAGATGTATTAACACCTTCTCACCTAATATTTGGAAGGAAATTGGAAGCTGCCCCTGTCTATAGAGATAATCCGGAAGAAAGTGATGAAGATTACAATGATGCGGCAGTGTTGTGTGATAAATTTAAAATGTTAAATAAAGTAATTGATCATTGGTCTAATGTGTGGCGTAAGGAATATCTTCTTACACTACGTGAACACTTTTATGGTGCGACAGAGGCAGTAAATCGACAGACCATTCAACCAGGTGACATTGTGTTAATTGGCACTGAACAACATCGAACATTGTGGCCTCTGGGCAAAGTATTGACATTGTACCCAGATGCACAAGGTGTTGTCAGGAATGTCAAAGTGTTGTGTCATGGCCAGGAAAGTTTATGCACAATTAATAAATTGATTCCCTTGGAATTAGGCGTTCAATCAAACGTAAATGAAAATCTGAGGGAAAGTGACACAAGTGATATGGAAGATAACGCAGACCAAGTGATGCCGGAAGATGAAATCGTAGTAAGACCTACTAGGAGAACAGCCACTCAAGCCAGAACTGGCTGGAATCGTCTCCTAAAGGAAGGAGTAATTTGAATCGTTTAGCAACGAACTCAGGCCGGCCGCAGTGTGGAAGATACTGTATATATTTTCCAGAAATTCAGTATTTATATGTAAATAGATGGCCATACTGTATTTAATAATATTTATGTCATAGAAAACGGAAAGCCTGCTTCTGGGCAGGAGACTCGCCATCTTGGTTTTTGAATTTTGTACAAACGTTGGTGTAATGGGAAGAATTTTTCGTGCTCTAGAGGTTAAAATTGTGTTGACACCTCTCAAATAGGAGGCGAAATTGGTGGATGTGCATTCCTGCATAACATGAGATATCAGACGACTGGACAAGACAGCTCCAGGAACCTCAGATAAGCTCTCTAGATTTGTGTGTAATTCTGGCCAGCATTATTTTCATAGATTTAGTTAGAGTGAGGTTTTCTGAGTATGATACACATTAATCTCCAGTCAGATTGGTGAGTGATATTAAGATATATTTTCTTTCTGTTATGTAATTGTGTATATCTATAATTATTCTTTAATTTTTAATATACAGTCCATAAATTTATATATTTACCAGTATTCCTGGTGTATGTATATTTCATTTAATTAATAGGTCCAGAGCAACTTGTGGTTATGACAGTGGTAGGTATCGAAGGGGGACATTTTTTGCGACCTAGGTGTCCAAATTCCTACTTGTCTGTGTAACTCTGATAAATAATAATTATCTTTGTTATCATTTTCTGTTATGTATATAATGAGTTACATTCAGATAAATGCAATTTTCCACAATAGTACTAGGGGGAGAGAGCACAACTTTGTAGTACCCACAGTCATTGGCCAGGCGTCAAACACCTTTTATTGTACAGCAATAAAGGAATGGAACAGACTGCCCGCACATGTCAAAGCCAGTCATAGCATGAACCAGTTCAAGAAGAGTGCCAAAAGGTGTCTGATGAATGTAGCTACAGAAAGAGAGGGGAATGATTTTCTATTTTTTAGCTAACATACGTGTAAATTTTACCTTATTCCTAGTAATGACCCTCGTATTGTAGATAGTCTTAATGACCCTAGTGTAGTAGATAGTCTTTTTAGTATGATAATAAGATGTTATCTTCATTGTAGAATAATAAGAAAATATTATAACCTTTATATTATAATAATAAGGTAAAAGGATCCCAATGGAAATAAGTCACTCTGTCTGACTTTTTTGGGTTATCCTAGGTTCTCTACACATATGCTGCTATGTACGATAATTCTATGTAACTGTATTTGTGTATACCTGAATAAACTTACTTACTTACTTACTTACTAATCATTCATGATGAAAATTTTAGTTTCTCCGCAACATTCGTAGAAAATTTGCACGTGACAGTTTTCTTTGAAAAAAAAACTGCACTGGCTTATTTTTCCCCTTTATTTTACAATTTGAGAGGATAGACGCCTCTATCTGCGATAACGGCAATAATGTGTCATAATCCCATCTATATCATTACACATAAACGGTGGCATGACAGTGTAGGGTGTTTCAAATAAGGTAAAAAATCAATTTAATAAGAGTGAAGCCAAGCCATGTTGTGGTGCCATCTCTCGGACTCTCCAGTAATCTCACTCTTCTCTCTCTCTCTGGGTTCTTCAACCATTTCCTCCTCACTTTTTTACATATTTATGGCGCACATCGCTGTTAAAATGGCACCCTTGTAAGTTATCAGTGTGTTTTGTGTGAGTGTGATCGTCGTGCATCATTGCAAGTGGTTAAAATAAAAAATATTAGAGTGAAAAACGTTGAATTGTCATCGGTGTTGTTAAGCAGCTGATTTGTTGACATCAGCTCCAGCTGATTTGTCAGCTGATGTAAACATTGTCAGTTTTGTCTTATAAACACTAAATTTACTGTTAATTACCAGTAACACACCTCTATAACAACTAAATAACTCATTACTGTAGTGTATCAGCCTTCAAGTTAACAATTAATGAATATTTTTATTAATATTTTACGACTCTTTTTGTAGCCTTCAGAATGTATAACTCGAATTATTTAAGTAAGTGTTGTATGACCCTTGTGGGTTTAGTGCTTAGTTCGGATTGTAATAATAATCTTATTTAAGTAATATGATTAAATCTTGTCAAGAGGTGACTAGGTGATGCAAAGGCTCTTAATGCTAGAAATTGGAGTTACCCTTCCCTTGGATCAAACTTGATTTTCCTTCACCCATCAGGCACTGTGACCCCTGTAGGTTTAGCACTTCCCCATGAATATATGAATGTAATATTTTTAACATAGCTTCAGCATTCTTCAGAATATATCACATGAATAGTATTATTTAGTTAATATTTACTCTCACTGGATTTTGAGCTTAGCAGTTGGTTTTTTATTTAAATTCTCTTAATACTAAATGTATTGTGCAGTTTAAGCAAATAGATTGTAGGCCAAAATGTTTGTAATAAAACTTAATAGGATTCTTATATTTAGGAATTCAAGTAACAGTAATACTGCAGCAAATCAACTAAAGCCAATAATAACCCAACAAAAAGCTGCTGTACAAATGATCAATCAATCTAGCACTACTCAACACAACACACTCCACCACTCTTCAATTATTACAATCAAAACTAAGCACTATTCCCACAAGTGTCGTACCTCATTTTTCAAAAGGTTAAACTTATACGAGAGATTGACTCAGGCAATCACATCATCGGGACTTCTGTGCCAACCTTCATCAAATGTGGACATCTCCCTCTCACCTGAGCATAATGGAGCATACCTGGAGAAGGTTTTGGGGGTCATTGCCCCTGTGGCCTGGTCTGTGACCAGGCCTCATCGTGGATCAGGGCCTGATCAACCAGGCTGTTGCTGTTGGCTGCACGCAACCTGATGTATGAACTACAACTCAGCTGGTCAAGTACTGACTTTAGGTGCCTGTCCAGTGCCTTCTTGAATACAGCTAGGGGTCTATTGGTAATCCCCCATATGTATGCTGGAAGGTAGTTGAACAGTCTTGGGGCCCTGACACCTATTGTGTTGTCTTTTATTATGCTGGTGGTGCCCCTGCTTTTCATTGGGGGATGTTGCATCATCTGCCGAGTCTTTTGCTTCATAGGGAGTGATTTTCATGTGCAAGTTTAGTACTAACCCCTGTAGGATTTTCCAAGTACTGTATATATAATCTTGTATCTCTCCTGCCTGCGTTCTAGGGAGTACAGGTTGAGGAACTTCAAGTGTTCCCAGTAATTTAGGTGTTTTATTGCAGTTATGCACGCCGTGAAGGTTTTCGTACATTTTCTAGGTCAGCAATTTCACCTGCCCTGAAAGGTGTTGTTAGTGTGCAGCAATATTCCAGCTTAGATAGAACAAGCAACCTGAAGAGTGTCATCATGGGCTTGGCATCCTTAGTTTTGAAGGGTCTCATTATCCATCCTGTCGTTTTTCTAGCAGATGTGATTGATACAATGTTATGGTCCTTGAAGGTGAGATCCTACTGACTTGATCACTTCCAGGTCTTTTACATTAGTTTCTCGCCCTATTGTGTGGTTGGAATTTGTTTATCGGATATAGTTTTAATTTCCTCACGTTTTCCATATCGGAGTAATTGAAATTTCTCATCGTTTCACTTCATATTGTTTTCTGCGGCCCATTTAAAGATTTGGTTGATGTCTGCCTGGAGTCTTGCGGTGTCTTCAATGAAGGACACTGTCATGCAAATTCGGGTGTCTTCTGCAAAGGAAGACATGGTGCTGTGGCTTACATCCCTGTCTATCTCAGATATGAGGATGAGGAACAGGATGGGAGTGAGTACTGTGCCTTGTGGAACAGAGCTTTCACCATAGCTGCCTCAGACTTTACTCTGTTTACTACTACTCTGTGTTCTGTTTATTAGGAAATTATAGATCCATCTACCAATTTTTCCTGTTATTTCTTTATCATGCATTTTGTGCACTATTACACTATGGTCATACTTGTCAAAGGCTTTTGCAAAGTCTGTGTATACTACATCTGCATTTTGTTTATCTTATAGAGCATCCAGAACCTTGTCATTGGGACATTTTAGTTGGGACATTAGTGCTATCAGTCTGTACTTCTTTGCTGTTGCATAAGCGACAAATTTTTCCCCATTCTCTTGGACGCGTGTTCTCATCATACTTTGCCCATTGGGCATGTTACAGGAGGGGCACTTTTCATCAGCTTAATTTTAGCCAGCTCCATTTTTCTGCTCTCTGGATATTTCTTTAATGGTTTTGGTGGGAAACTGGTGGTTGAATTCAGGTGAGGGTGTAGGCATCCCATTCTGCTGGGGCTTGGCAAGGAGGGTCCACTTGGTCTATTTGGAAACTTATAGCTTCTATTTGTTTATTTTTGAAAGGATTTCTGTGCCCTTTTCTTTCATCGTCCGGTTTTTGGGCAATGTCTCTTCTCCATACACCGAGAAGCAGGGATTGATACAGTGTAAACTGTCAGTAGTTTTTACAAACCCAAAATAGTTTTGCTCAACATGCAAAATATTCACTCATACTGTACATACTACATATAGAGGGCAACCAATGAAAATATAAACCCAACTCTGAAACTTCCTAGAGAGCTGCAACAGAACTTATAGCCCTTATACAAAATACAAATATTTTTGATATCCTTAGGATCATGTATGACTCAACCTTTGTAAAAACTCAGTAGAAGATTCTGAAGAGTCTTTGTCTGGCAACTGCATCAAAGTTCATGCTAAAAAAGCACCTCTTTCCTTTAATGGGATTTATGACACCAGTATTCCATATTCGAACACATCTTGAAACTTGCTTGTTGAGTTTTCATCCATTATTCATCCTCCTATACTTTTTATTTCCACTGTTTTTTCTACTCCTATATATTGTACCATATGGTTTAATTCCCTTCATAGCTATTGTACTGAGAATTTTACATAGAATAATCATGGTGTTTAACTTCTTATCTCCGTGTCTGCCACATAGAATAATCATTGTATTTTACTTTTTATATCCAAGTCTGCTGCAGTAATCTTCAGATGAATTGTATTGCATTTTATTGTATTGTAAATTCATAACCTAGTTCCACTCACTCTTACAGTTGGACAATTAAATTTTATTTATTGTATACTTATGAATTATTTTGTAACCTGTTAATAAATTAAACTACGTATGTAGTTCTTAAAAATAAGTAATTCGTAATCCATGTTCCCCATCTCCAACATTATACTTGCTGGAAGAGAGAGAGTATATTAAAAAAGTTAGTTAGTAGTTCATTAGGTTCCATCCTGCAGTTTTTAGGAACCCCTGAAAAAATTCACTAGGGCCTAGAGATAACTGGAGTATACCTAGAAAGGGTTTCAGGGGTCAGTAACGCCACTGCCGGGTCAGTAACGCCACTGCCCAGTCTGTGACCAGGCCTCACAGTAGGTCAGGGCCTGATCAACCAGGCTGTTACTGCTGGCCACACACAAACCACAGCCCGCTGGTGCGGTACTGACTTTACATGGCTGTCCAGTGCCTTCTTGAAGACAGCCAGGGGTCTATTTGTAATCACCCCTTATGTATGCTGGGAGGCAGTTGAATAGTCTTGGGCCCCTGACAGTTATTGTGTTATCTCTTAGCATACTTGTGGCACCCCTGGTTTTCATTGGGGGGATGTTGCATTGCCTGCTGAGTCACTTGCTTATGTAGGGAGTGATTTTCATGTGCAGATTTGGGACTAGTCCCAATAGGACTTTCCAAGTGTATATGTATTAACATGTACCTTTCTTGCCTGCATTCCAGGAAGTACAAATCAAGGGACTTCCTATTAATTTAGGTGCTTTATTTTTTATTTTTTTTATTTTATTTTATAATTTGTAGCATACATACAGAGGTACAAAAAAATACAAGTAAGAGTAGCATGCCAAAGCCACTTATATGCATAGCATTACAGGCAGGCTTAAAATTAACTTAAGATTAACTAAGCAATGATGTAATCAGTGATAAAACATTATTGTAAACAGATAACTATAAAGCACAAATGAGTATTACAAAGACAGGTCATATGGTTGCATGCATTGCTGTACATTCAGTAGAATGGAGTATTCTGTTAGGTAGTGTATTTAAAAAATAACAAAGTTAGATTGGATCTTAGGTTTAACATTTATGTGATATAATCGTGAGAAACATTTAGGATATACAATTTATAAGGTTCAGTTATTCAGTATTTATTTGGTTTTGGGTGAGTAAGTGATCTTTGAGAAGAGACTTGAATTTATAAACAGGTAGTGTTTCTTTTATATTTACAGGTAATGAGTTCTACATTTTAGGGCCTTTTATGTGCATTGAGTTTTTGCATAGCGTAAGATGGACACGAGGAACATCAAAGAGTGATCTGTGTCTTGTGTTATGGTCATGAGTTCTGTTGAGGTTGGCAAGCAGATGTTTGAGGGGAGGGTTAATATCAGAGTTAAGTGTTCTATGTATGTAATAGGTGCAGTAATAAGTATGGATGTTTTGTATGGTGAGTAGGTTAAGTGTTTTGAATATTGGAGGAGTGTGCTGCCTGTAGTGGGAATTTGTTATCATTTTGACTGCAGCCTTTTGTTGGATAATTAGTGGTCTGAGGTGGTTAATTGTTGTTCAGCCCCATGCACAAATTCCATAGGTGAGATAGGGGTAAATAAGAGAGTGATACAGGGCCAGGAGTGCTGACTGTGGAACATAGTAACGTATCTTCGAT